CAGTCACTGCCAGCTCAGGACTCGTGGATGCATTTTTCTAGAGCCACTATAAGCTCTTTGAGAGATTCCTTAACTCGCAATTGAATTAGAAAGGATTTTTAAAATAATGGATTACAAGTAGCTGCTCCATAATTAGGAGTAAGTAACAGAATATATTGCAGCACAGAAATACACAAACTGAAACAGAATAAAGTAGAAACTACTTTAGTGTTGGTGCCCATGAGAGAGTAAAGCAGCTCTCCACTGGGGACCCTGGGAAACCCATGTCTATTAGAACACTGGCGCAGGAGCTGAGGTTTGGCATTTTCAACCAACTCTAAGGCTGGAGCCCTTAGTCTACACTATGACTACAACGCAGGTAAAATTTAAGTTCATAGATCAAGTTGCTGCCCCTTTTCTTGGGATTGGGAGGGAGAGGGCCTCCCAAAAAGTACTCTAGTGGCTTGGGGGCCCCCTCTTGTAATTCTCTGTCATCTGGACCTATGGTTCAATGTGAGGGTCTGAGGATTTATTGCTGCTGTAGTGCCCAGGACTGCCTGGATCACCCTGACTGGGCTTGAGGGTCTCCAGAGCTGCACTTGGCAATGCTTAATGGACCATTATGGGAATCAAGTCAGGTCTGGCCACATTCAATGCCTTAACCCCTGTACATTTTCTCTGAACCTCTTGCCCTTTTATAAGTAGAACTTCCATATTTCTGGGTTTTCTTTTTATAGGGATTGAACACAGGGTGTTCTGGGCTGCTCTTGGCAATGCTCTGCCGTCTAGTGTGAAGCTAACGGGTTTAGTGCTTGGTCATCAGCGCATGTGGGCATGCATATGGAGCCAGGATCATACTCAGCCCCACAAATGCTAGGCATTTGTTTTTACCTCATAAACTATCACCCCAGCCCCTCCATATTTCTTTTAAAACTATTTTTGGTGTTCTTATAGAAATATTTAACTATTTTAAATAGTACATCTGGAGAACTCAGTAAGGTTAAACAAAGCATGACTGGTAAAAAACAGGACTTTCTTGGCTTTGTGAAAGAGGCCTCTTGATTTCTGGAATGAGCTTGTAGGCTTTGCTACAAAGCTCTTGCCTGAGAAAGCGTTTCCTTGTAAGGTGAGAAAGGGTCACCTCTTGACTTGGAGGTTGATCCAAGAATAAGACATTCACTTTAGATCTGACTGGCAGAGTTCCCAGGGTGACAGATCTTCATTCTAACAGGCCATTCTGAAGGGGTCTTACATCACCCAAGAAGCAAGAAGCCACCTAAAGGCCACAGCAGAGAGAGGCACTGCAGTGTGACTGATGTCTGAGACTGAGCCCTCTGTTTCTTTCTGGTGGCTGAGGTTTTAAATGAACTTTCTTGATATTATCCTGAAAAGGAAAAGATGAAGCACTTATACTCCCCAAGTCAAGAACTCTCAGTCCCAAAGAGTCAGGGAAGTCGAATCTAAATGACTTATCAATCACAGAAATTATTGTACTAAAATAGTTGAGATTCACCTTTTAACAGTCTTGTGTATGATAAAGAACATGGAAAACTCATAGGGAAATATCCTAGAGCTGCGTTCCCCTGCCAACTAGTTTCCAACAATTGGGGGTTTCTGCCTTGAAATACCCCATGCTCCAGTAGAGCTCCACTCTTGGACCTGGTAATTTACCTGTTGTCCCTCCCCTGATTAGCTCTGGTTACAACACCCTGGGAACCAACACCCTGGAAGGGAAGGTGATGGAGAAAGAAGACAGGATGTGCATGTAGGCAGGATGGAGTATGGGAGTATGAAGCCAATCCTTCCTCTGTGCCTCAAGAAACTTTTCAGACATGGAGCTCTCAGAAAGCAAGTGTAAAAGGTCCAGAGAGGTGGAGGGCAAATTGGTAGAGCTCCACCCCAGCCCTGAGTTATCCTGCACCCCTGTCCTTCATTAGCATTTCAGGGGCTTCTAGAGGATTGGTGAAGGTTACAGAGAACTCTAAGGGCAGCTGCCATTCCCAATGCTCCAGGCTTTGCATCTCCAGGATAACAAGGAGGCCTGTAAGGGATGCTGGTGTGTAACCCTAGTTAAGACCCCCATTACTGTCACTGGGGATGTCACCCAGGATGCCTTGCTCTAAAGGACTAGGTGATGCATGGTAGCCCTCTGGTCTGAAAAGCCCACAAGGTGTATCTGTGTGGATGCCAATGTGGCTGGTAGTCACTGAGGACCAACAGGAGTGCTGTACTTTTAAAATTAAGAATAAAAAAAATCACCTTCAATATTAATTCCCGAAATGCAGCTTACATCTTGGTGCATTAACTGGTAACTGAATAAATCACATCAATTTTCACAGTAGCATCTTAGCACTTGGGAGAAGGATATGACAAGGGAAAAGAATTTACACTAGGACTTTTTAGGTTATCCTTTGAAGAGGAGACCAAATATGATTATAAATATAAAATAACATAATAACAAAGAGTTGTCTTCTTTGTCACCAGATGACAGGATTACCAGATTTTCTGGAAAAATAGGTTGTTAACTGGGTCTCAAATGGGTTTTCCTGAAACAATGATACCCCAGCTGGGTTAGACAAGAGCCCAATTTTTTGGCAATTTTTATAAATCTTGCATCTAAAATATGAATTTAATCCTCACTTGGTGGGGATAAATGTTTAATAAAAACTATGTTTTTTGATTCATTTCAGTTCAAATCATTTAGAAAAATCTAGTTCAACTAACAGTTAAACGTAAAGTAAAATATGCAATAGGTTACTATGGTGATTGCTAATTTAAAATAATTAGGGAAAATAATGAGAAAGCTGTTTCCTCTCTTAAGGATTAGAGATTTGTAAACTGATACCAGTCTATTTTTAGTGTATATTATCTGTATGATGATGATAAAATTATGAATACTTTAAAATGCTTTAGAAAGGTTTGAGGAATTTAATAAACCAAGTATTTATATAAAAATTTATATTTGTCTTTATTAAATCTAAGTCAATTTCACAGAAAGAAAATTATACCTATATGTAATAATTTAATTAAAGCATAATGATCCAGTATATGACTAAATTAAAATTTAAGACATATCTATGATAACTTTTAAACTATTATTTCACAATTAGATTATTGTAGATTACTCATAAATTCATAAATGAATGCATAAGACTTGCTGTCTTAGTTGATGAAACCAATAGAATAAGAAAAGACTTAAACCTCCAAGTTGCTTCTTCATACCTTCATATACAGGGAACATGAATGTTCTCATTAGATCCTTCTTGCGATGAAAGACTGCCACAGACCAGAACATTTAAAGAACATGAGCTCTGTGCTAATTTCAACAATGACATGTGACTTGTTTCTAATTAAGTAAGGGTATGTTCTGGACAACTGAACAATTTGGCTCAGAAGTAACAATCACACACATAAAATCTTTTCTTCATCTAATGTGATGTCAAATGAGCAAAATAACCTTTGGGGGTTAGCCTGTTTCCATGCCAACAAGGAGCAAACACTGTTCATTGATAATTACCTGTATTTCTTTCTTGTCAAATCCTCTACAATATCCCACTTCTCTTCCTTGGGCTTTCAGCTTTTGTAGGAGCCACACCAGGCCTCCTTTTTCCACTTTTCTGCTGACCTCTAACCCATGGCATTTTGAAAGGAGCTGAAACTTCTCACATGATTCAGAGTGAACATTTGGGAAAAGCTTATACTGTTTTCATTTCTGATAGTCATCCCCCCAAGTCAGGGCCTTTTTCAACACGGGTAAGACTCTTTTGAAAAATCAGTGAAGAAATAGATGTGTTGTCTAAGACAAGTTAGAAAACACATTTCAGGCTCTGGGTCATGCGCTTAGGGCTGGCTAATGTTCTAGGATAATACCCGGGGCTCTTCAGTTGAGGAAAAGCTGAGATTCAAGGTTCAGAGGTAGAACTAGTCATGGGAAGCATGGAATTTGTTGAAATCCTCTATCAGAAAACCAAAACAGGTTCTAAAAGAAAATCCAATTAATTCTTTGGAGACAGGAGAAAATAGCACTAAAGAGAGTGGTGGGTCTCAGTCTTCCCCACAGGATTTACTTTGTTCCCTGATATCCAAAATGCAGCAGCTGAAAGAAGTCTCCTGCATGGTCATATCTGACACTGTGATGCTTATAGTCAAAACTGGTTCCCAAACATGCCTCATTATAGATATGGAGTAGCTGTTCTTTTGCCCAGAGTTTCTGGTTCTGTATGTCAGGTACAGGGCCTGAGGACCTACACTTTAAACAAATACTCTGGGTGATTCTTCTCATCGCGCCAGTAAGGGATATGTCAATGGAGCGTAGGACTGGAAAGTTTCTGTCATAGGTTAGCATGCACATCTATTGGGTATTGCAGGTCATAACATCTCTGTCACATTTACTCAAATCTGAACTTTTTAAAATCATAGATCTCTTTTGTCTTTTTCAAAATATTCATTTATTAAAGCACCATGATTTACAAAGTAATTCATAGTTGGGCTTTTGACATACAATGTTCCATCACCAACTCACCATCAACGTCAACTTCCCCCAACCAGTATTCCTAGATTCCCTCTCCTGCTCACCCACCCCAGTCTCAGTCTGCCGTTTAGACTTTTTAAATTTGGTTATTGAAGTTTGGATCTTGCAGTTTTCGTGTTGTTGACTCTGGTTTGGATATTTAGCTCTATCATTCCTTAACACCATCAATTTACCCACGTCCCCTTGGCCCCATCCCTGCTGCTTCTCATCTCTCTCTACTCACCTTCCTGTGTTTTTACTGAGAAAATAGCCACAGGTTGCAAGTAACTGAGTTGTACTTATAAATCTTTATTTAAAAATGAAAATCAGGTTGAAAGCCAAGTTAGTCTTAGAGTTTTAGTTTTCCAACCCCTCATTTAAAATACTCCAATTCATTAATCTACATAAGGGATGTGGAGGGACAAAAAACTTAGATCTGTTATTGTATGAAATGGGACCTTCTTAAATATAGGAATGGACCAATGGATAAACAAGTAATAAAACCACTCACCAAAATACCAATGTCTCTAGGAAGGAAATTCCAACATTTGATGCACCAACTACCACAATCTTGGCATTGACAGTTATTTTAGGCTCCAGTGTTAGTTTTCTGTTCGTATGGTACAAAGCAAAACCCAACTAGGAAAAAAAAAAGACAAAGAAAGAATTGAGAAAATGTACCTGAGCCTGCTCCCAAACTGACAATTATGTGGAATTACTTAACCAGGGTATTATTAGCAAATCAGACCAAATAATGTTTCTAAGCAATCATATTTATGGGAAAGAATTTTTAGGAATATACAAATATAGAAATAATAGCTAATTACTGGGACTGGATCACATAAAAATGTTTGGTGTATGCCATCTTTGTCTTATACTTAGCAGATATTTCATATAGAGTTGGAGCTCTTTATGATGAGACATGAAAAAGTATAATCTTTCCATAGACAGCTTTGTAAGAATCTGGAGTTTTATAGGTGAATGAGACCAGTTGTAGTTACTGGTTCAGACTTCTTCGTCAAGATCATGAACGATCGGTTTGAGGCCCTTCATGTTCCCAGAGCGAACAGATGCCATTGGGCTACACTAGCACGCGACAGGGACAAATGGAGACGTTACTGGCGCCCGCTCGAGCAAATCGACGACTAACGGGAAGTTAAGTGATTAAGTGATTAAGTGGAGTTTTATAAAAAGTCCCAAGTCTTCATCTCTTTTTAATGTTTCCCTCTAGCTTGAACAACAATTACATTATAAGAGTTGGCTGGAGCTGGAGAGACAGCACAGAGGGTAGGGCGTTTGCCTTGCACACAGCCGACCTGGGTTCGATTACCAGCATCCCATATTGTCCCCTGAGCACCTCCAGGAGTAATTCCTGAGTGCAGAGCCAGGCGTAACCCCCATGCATCACCAGGTGTGACCCAAAAGGTATAATAGTTGGCCAATTGAAAGCAAGTATTATCCCTTATTCAATTTTGCTTCCCTCACACTACTAACTTAGCCCCGTAGCTGTTCATTAATATTTGTAGGCCGACAAGCATCTACTGAATGACAAAAAATTGTTGGTTAATAAGCATTGTTTAATCTTTCAGATCCTCTGAGGTCAAGGAGGATTGTTAGAAAAACAAAGTAACTGATGAATGCTTAAATTTTTGCAAAAATTTCCTAGATAGCTTTTGGTGGACATTCCTACAGAAACGTCAGAGGGTAGCATTAAACACAAAGAAATTCTTACAAAGAGCTTGAAGGGTATTCTTGAAAGTATTGAAAGGACTGTTTTAGAAAATCTTGGGCCTATTTTTAATTAATTTTTTCAATACACATTTTATTTGTTGTTTACCATATGTTAATGTGCCTGGATAAGAAGTATAGCTTACTTATGAGAAACAAAGTGTACTGGGTGATTCCACTGGTGGAATGGAAATTTGACCAATAGATCCCACTCAGTTCAATCCTTATGGCAGCAGCATTAATTTCAACCTCTAGGACAGAGATCTTCAAATTCTATTACACAAAACCTATTTTAATTTTCTTAAAATCCAAAGACACCAATCAATCTATGTGCATTCAGAGAACTAACAGTAATGTCCTTCTAAAGCTGCCCACTTTTTTCAGGGCCTAAGTTGTCATGGGTCTGTGCATAGGCTCAGCTAATTATTAAAGAATATGTAAAAGCAGGGCCAGTCAGACAAGGTCAGACCTGAACACCTGAAGAACATGTCATCAGTACTCATCAATACACTGGCTCGGCTCTTCACTCGCTACCTGTCTGAATGCAAGGTTCTGTCCCAATGGAAAACCAGCAGGACCATACTACTGTTCAAGAAGGGAGACATCCATGACATTGGCAACTATCGCCCGATCTGCCTATTGTCTGTCATCTACAAGTTGTTCACTCGAGTCATCCTAAATAGGATTGGCAGAACACTAGATGAAGGACAACCATGCGAGCAAGCAGGGTTCCGCAAAGGATTCAGCACCATCGACCACATCCACACGATAACCAAGCTCATTGAGGTTTCTCGGGAGTTCAAGATGCCGCTCTGTTTAACGTTCATTGATTTAAAGAAGGCCTTTGATTCTGTTGAGAAGGAAGCGGTCATTGAAGCCCTAGCCAATCAGGGCATTCAAGCCCAATGCATCAAGATCCTCCGTGAGCTGTATTGCGGATTCACTACCAGGATCTCACCATTCTACAAAGAAGTGATCATTGATGTCAAGAGAGGGGTTTGGCAGGGTGATACCATTTCACCGAAACTCTTCAGTGCCACCCTCGAGAACATCATGCGATGACTAGAATGGGAAGAAATAGGAGTGAAGATAGACAGTTGGCAACTACACCACCTCCGCTTTGCTGATGACATTGTTTTAATAACACCAAACATCAGCCAAGCGGCACAAATGCTGGCCGACTTTGACCATGAGTGTGGAAAGGTAGGACTACAGCTGAATCTTACGAAGACAATGTTCATGAGAAACAGCCTCGTTCCTGATGCCCCATTCGCTCTCAACGGAATGACCATCTCCGAATGCAACAGCTATGTGTACCTAGGTCGAGAAGTCAACATGACAAATGACCTGGCACCCGAGCTGCACAGGAGGAAGAGAGTGGCTTGGAACGCCTTCAAGAACATCGAAGAAATAGCTAAGAGGACGAAGAACCTCCGGCTCTGGGCACATCTCTTTGACTCCACTGTTCTTCCTGCATTAACATATGCCTCAGAGACCTGGGCCCTATGCAAACAAGATGAGAATGCTATTCAGGTCTCCCAAGGAAGAATAGAAAGAGCTATGCTTGGAATATCACGTTTCACTCAAATGAGAGAAAGAATCCGGAGTTCCGACATCCGTTGATGATCAAGAATCAGGGACACTGTCTCATTTGCCAAGGTGTCAAAAATCAGATGGGCTGGTCACGTAATGAGATTTAAAGATGACCACTGGACTAGAGCTGTTACCGACTGGATTCCATGGGATGTCAAAAGACCCTGTGGCCGCCCACCTACCAGATGGTCTGACTTTGTCAAGATCATGAACGATCGGTTTGAGGCTCTTCATGTTCCCAGAGCGAACAGATGCCATTGAGCTACACTAGCACGCGACAGGGACAACTGGAGACGTTACTGGTGCCTGCTCGAGCAAATCGACGACTAACGGGAAGTTAAGTGATTAAGTGATGTAAAAGCTAGGAAACAACCCTCTAGCCACATAAAAGTAGAAAAATGTCTTTTGCTCATTTGCTTACTTATTTCAGCACTATGCCCAGCTATGCTGGGCACTGTTTCTGAGTCTGTCTTTAGGGATAGCTCCCAGTGGTGCTGGGGAGACCATGCAGTCCCTGGACTAAATGCAGGCATCCAGCACCTCTAGAAAAATTTCTTGAGTCAAATATTGAACTAACAGAATTTTGAAAGAGGGTATGGGGATTTTAGACTCACTTCCACACTGCTAGAGCCTTTCAGTTTCTGGCCCACCCTCACTCCCACCCACAGGGAGCCACACTATAGATCTGGGGAGAGATCCCACCCCTCCCATCTCAGAGAAAACTCTGGAACACCCAGCCGTGGAATCCCGCCTTCTTCGCTCAAAAATTGGCCCAGGTAGATGAAAAACCAGACTAGTTCCAGTCGGAGCTAAATCTCTGAACTATAGTTGAAGAAGAGGAGCCTCCTGTTTCCCAAATGGTATGGAGATACACTGATGTGAAGCCCAGGAAGGTACAGTGATGCCACCTAGAGGGAAACCATCTGAGGCTGCAGCCCCAAGAGAGGCAAGAAATTCCTTTAAAACCAACCTGAAAATGACTCAGGTTATACCTTTGGACTTATTAGTTATAGGAATAATAAATGTTAGTCACCAGCTGCCATACTAACGCTGTGTAAGCCTCCCTCCACTCCCACTCCAGATGCATAGCTTAAAACAAATGCCATATATTCTTGATCACGTATCTATGGGTCAACCGGCAATAGGTTGATGTAGGCAGGGTCAGCTTGTTTGGTGCCAATCTGCAGATTTTAGATCAGCCTCACATCTCTCTTTTTTCACAGAGAGCTAACAGGAGCATATTTGTTTCATGGCAGTTGTAAAAGTGCAAAAAGATAAGTAAAAATAAGCAACACTTTGGCCTGGCCAAAGTCCAGCACCCATGGTGGTTGGCAGAGAGAGAGTAGTGATGAATGGCCTCTCAAAATGACACAGTCAAGTAATAGCCAAGGGTGCAAGCACTGAATTCTGAGAATGACACCCACAGTATTTTCATGGTTATTTAGGTCACTTTGTTTTTCTGGCATGTAACTAAAGACTCTTGATTCTGATGCTTTCTTTCCTTCATGTTATTTATTTATTGAAGGTCAAAATATCAGAATTTATTTTGGCTTATTTTGTGTGTTTGTGCCTTATAACAAGGCATTCATCACTGGATTTTACACATACCATGTTCCAGCACCAATCCCAAGACTAGAGTCACATTCCCTCTACCAGGGTTCCCAGGTTCTCTCCCATAACCCTCACCCCCACCCATCCCAACCTGCAACCTTGACAGGAACATTTTTGAGTTTGGTTGTTGAAGTTTGGGTCTCCTGTTATCAGTGTTGCTGACTCTGTGGTTTGGATGTTGAGCTGGACCACTCCTCTACATCACCCATGTACTCGAATCCCTTTGATCCTTGCTTCATGTTGCTGCCCTCATCTATCTCTTCTCCTCTCTCAAATTCTTTCCTGCTCTGCCTCTGCTCCCTATATTCTGAGGCAAAGGGTTATCTAGGTATCCTCCCTTTCAAATATTGTATTTCCTCACCCAGTTCTTCTAAATATCACATATAAGTGAGATAATCTGGCTTGTCCTTTTTGCTTACTTCATTTGCATGACATCTTCCAGTTTCATGCATGTTGCAGCAAACCGCATGATTTCATCTTTCTTTACAGCTGTGTAGTATTCCACTGTGTATATATGCCACATCTTCATGATTGAGTTACTGGACACCTAGGTTGATTATATATCTTAGCTATTGTACTACAATGAATAATGGTATGCATGTATCTTTTTGAATGAATGTTTTTGTGTCCTGGGGTCAGATACCCAGAAGCGGTATTCCTGGGTCATATGGCAGCTAATTCTGAGTTTACTGAGATATCTCCATTCT